TCCCATTACCATATATAACCCTTATATAGTCATTATATAACCCCTATATCCCTAGGTAGTCCCCATATTAACCCCCATAAGCTACAAGGGTCCCTATTAGGGGTCCCTCCTAAAGTCCTTAGAATGAGAATCTTAATTTGGTACGAAACAGGGGTCACCCTCACAGAGTCAGAGACCCCAAAAAATCAGCCTTAACCCTAAATAGTAGTTTCCATTGTATTCTCCAGCATCCCAAAACAAACCCAATATTATAACCCCTATATAGCCACTCATAAGATACCCCCTAGCAATTCTGTCTGGAGCTCACGAGACCCAATTTCATATGAGCTATAGTCTAAACTCCTAGTATCCCCCTTAATAACCGCAATAGTAGTCCCCTATATAATCCCCCATATAATCCCCTTTAGGGAGTTTAGACCATAGCTCATATAGCCGGAACCCTGTACCCAGACAGTCAGCTTTTTGCATTCGGCTAGTCCATCTCATGCAGGCCGCCACTGTTTGGCACATCCTGAGATAAAGCCATCTTAGGGTTTCAGGGCTTGGGTTTTGGGTTTTGGGTTTAGGGTTTAGGCTTTAGGGTTTAGGGTACAGGATTTCAGAAGCGGGGTTCTGGCGCCTAGAGCTTCACAGATTTCAGGTCTTGTATTGTGGGTGCAATGGTATGGTTCACCTGGGAGCCTCCCAAACTTGTGAATCCCCTCCGGGAGGCCTTTAGGTGAGCTTGTTTGGGGAACTACGACTTGTGTTTCCATTCTACAGTCAGCCCTTCTCGCTACAGAGCTGTGGGTTTCCTGTAGGGCACTGAAATATTCTCGTTTTATGAAGAACTGCATTCGTGTGGCTGAATGGGTTGGTCGAGCTTTGCTGGCCCCAGCTGCTGGATCCTTGGTTCTTTGCAGGTTCTGGTTTCAGTTTTGTTTCCAGTGGAAGTTCGGTCCCAGCTGTCAACCTGCCGCTATCGGTGGCGCATACACACAAGCGGTATGATGACATCAGTTGAGCTTTCATCTCTCCAGAAGAACCCCGGACACAAATCCATATACCCTGAGCTATACCTCAAACCCACGAGCATAATCCCTGGGTAAAAAAACAGAGACCTCCCAAAACCCACACACACACACACACAC